GAGAGAGAGAGAGAGAGAGAGAGAGAGAGAGAGAGAGAGAGAGAGAGAGAGAGAACAACGATCCATGCTCAAAGAGACTCAGCTTCCTTCTGTTGATTCAACTCTAATCCATTATTAGGAATGTAGCCGGAATGAAATAGTAAAGAATTTATATATTTGTGTTTTTATTTGCATAAAGCAACCAAAACAAAACAAAGATAACTTGTGAGCTGCAGTCGGATATTGTTGGATTTAAAGCAGTGAACGCTGCAGTCGGCTTCTGTTTGTGATTTTCTCTGCAGATAATTAACAGAATCAGATCAAACTGAAGTCAGTTACAAGCTGTGAGTCTGTCAGGGCAGAACCACTCGAACTGTCTTTCCTGCATCTTATTACAAAAATGTCCATCCTAATATTAGTTTCTGCTGGTTTTACTCCCCAATAATTAAAAAATTAGGAAACAAAAGAATAATTTTCTACTCCTTTCACTGGTGGTCGTATGAAAGTAACAGTTCATAAAAATTATTTGGGCCCCCTCCATTTTATTTTGCTTCTATAAAAAGTGAATTTTAGTAGAATGAAGACAGATTAGATGAGGAAGGCTCATGGATCTGAACTTTTGCACAGGGTTCCTCAGATTTCACCTTTTCTGACACAAATTTCCAGATTTTTCTGTTTCAAAGTAATTTTTGTGGTCAAATTCTTTGTAAATTAGTTAATCAGTTTTATTATTGGGATGTAAAATATTGGATTTAAAACACTTTCCCCATTAAAACCCATTTTCTTGGTTTTAAAATCATCTTTTTATCTTCTAAAAATATATTTTTTTCTTGAACCATCTGCTGCTGAATGTCAAGTTTTCAGAAGTTTCTTTGTCATTTCTTAGTGTAAACCACTGGATTTAAAACACTTTCCCCCATTTTCTTGGTTTTAAAATCATCTTTTTATCTTCTAAAAATATATATTTTTCTTGAACCATCTGCTGCTTTATGTCAAGTTTTCAGACGTTTCTTCGTCCTTTCTTAGTGTAAACATTTTTGAGCATAACTTGACCAGTTCCTCTCACCACACTGTCCAAGTCAGACTAAATTCATCACTTGACTTTTTAGTTTGAGTCTTCAAACATGAGCTGAATTATTCTTGTCTGCTGAACCTTCAGTCACAGTGAAACAGAACACATCTCTTAAAAACTACAACTAAAGTAAACTAAACGTATTTTAAACATTTCGTATTTGAACAAACAGCAACAAAGTAAAAACTGAGAGAATGATCAAAAATCAACACTAAAACAATCACTTGAAGATTACTTTTATTTCAGGTAAATGCTGTTTCTATGAAGGGGCAGGGCTTAAAACTTGCACTGCAGCCAACCAGCAGCTGCATGGGGACTTCTAGTCTTCTTTCCAGTCAAAGTGGATTTTTCTGGTCCTGACCCGGTCCGTAAAACCACGGTCTGTGTCGTCGCAAATGAGCCAAATCTTTTAAACAGCTCTTTAAAAATGCATGAGAACCAGACAACTGGGAAAGGTTGTTKTTTTTAATTTTGTTTTTATTTACACCTTTGTTTTTTCTCTTCTGATGCAGTCAGAGAAAATCATGTCAAATCTCTGGTTTGTTCTTGTTTCTATCTGTGAAATATTGTCAAACTTCTAATCTTCATGCTTTTGTTTTGTCTCGTCTGGATTATTAGAGCTGTTCACGTCTGACCAAAACACCTCCTGACTGGCTGCAGTCTGCATGTGCAGAAGGCTGCTGCCAGGCTCCAAACTGGACCTTCAAATTTGGTCATGAAACTCYTCTTCTAACGTAACTTCAGTGGTTACTGGTTCATTATTGTGAAATTCACTTTCACATCCCATCAGGGCCTTGAGATCTTGCTGGTTGTTCCCCATACAAAACTGAAAACTAACGGAGACCAAACCGTCTCTTCGGTGACTCCAAGACTCTGGAACTRCTTTCCTCAGCCTCTCTTAAAGGCCAGCTAAAAACATATCTTTTTTATAATCTGATTTTGTTTAAATTTGCTTCATGTGTTTCTGTTGTCTGTTGAAGCACTTTGTGATTTTTCTTTTGAAATGTGTTATATGAATAAAATTAACCATACTTTCTTCCTGGGGGTGGTTGGATATGGGATATGTCATCATGTAACATGTCACTGCCCTTTGAATAAAACACATCTTTAAGATCTGACTCCTTTCCAAGAGCTGAGCATCCTTTCTGTGGTCTATAATCCAGCCTCCAAGTACAGCTATAAACTGTTGGTACATCATCAAAGTTGGTAAATCATGTAAACTGACTGAAATCAAATTCAGAATCATTGTTTGGCCTCAGTGCTCTGTYATATGTTTTAGAGCTGAGGAAATAGATCAGTAACTTTAAAAGAATCAGTAGTTATAAAGTGATTTATACAGTAAAATAACTGTAAATGTATACAGTATGTGAAAAATTCCTGGCTCAGGTAACAGGGCAAACGTTTTTTTCATACATAGTTTTTATTTTCTCTAAGAATTTAATATAAAACCTCGATTTTTAAAACTGTAGAAAGCTATTTTTTTCCTTTTATTTCCTTTTTAAAAAATTTAATCTTCAGAAAACCATGTATGAATCATCATTTCTGTTTTATTGTTTACATAATGTAAAACATGTAACAGAGCAGATTTTTTTCAATAATTTGCTTTTCTTTTCTCAAACTGTATCATAAAACCTCATATATTTTCAGATTGTAAGAAGCTGTTTTTTGTTTGTTTGTTTGTTTGTTTACTGTTTAGAAAATCTTCAGAAAACCATGTGCGCGCCGTCATTTGTGTTTATCCTGCTGAACAAACTTGTCTCCGCAGCAGCAGCTCTGCTTCTTACGTGTTCGGGACGTCCCGTGGCTGCAGCCAATCAGCGCCTCGCGTCTCTGCGCGCGTGCACGCGCCAGGCGCACAGGACCGCTGTGAGGAAGAGGAGGATCAGTCTGTGCGTAAAACTGTGGAGGAAAGCAGGAGTTTGGCTCCGACTGAAGAGATTTTTTTATCCTACAGTTTTGAATAGTTGTTGTTTTTCTGTCAGGAGGATTTTTCTTTTTTTTTTTTTTTTTTTTTTTTTTTCTTTCTGAAACCTGCTGAGTCACCTTTAACCCCTGAAGAACCCGTCTGTCCCTGCTGGACTTCATGGTTCTGGACCTTGATATGGACCGTTCGGTTCTTCTCGGTCGCTTTTAGAAAGTCTGGCGCCGCTGACTCCGAGTGTTGACGGTGCTGGTGTGATGATGCCCCCGGTCTGCAGGTGAGAGGAGACCCCCCCACCCC